TTTAAATTGCTCAACTTAATGTAAATAAAATACAATACCTGAATCTGATGCTGGACTTTGACTAGGGGTGGGCCCACTCTTATCAAGAAGATACCCGACTTCTAGAAACTCTAATAGAGATTCCGTTTGAGGATTACGAATATGCCCTGGATTTAAATAAAATTAACAAAATATATATTTTTTTTTTAAAAAAAAAAAACATTATCTTGTAAATATATAAATATACCTGAAAAGGAATGATTAGCGAGAGTTTGAGAAGAATTGTAACAAGGAACAGTGCGAACAAACTCAAAAGGTTTACTACTCCCTCTGGATTTCAGCTTACTCTTCACCCATTTGCGACATTCTTCCATTTCAAACTCTACACCCCTAAAAGTAACCCAAATAAAAATTCTTATTATGGATTATATAATTAAATTAAATAAATAAATAACCTAAAAGTAACCCATTTGCGACATTCTTCCTGCGATTTACACGTACCCAAAATTCATTGGCATTTTAGTGAGAGGAAAAATGGAATTGAATCTACGGGTGATTGCTAGCCACTCTTCATCATATTCAATCTCATATGGACCGGGATCCGATTCAACTTCAATAATCTATCGAATTCAAAATTGAAAAAAAAAAAAAAAAAAAAAGTCAACGAGAAGCACAGGATAGTCAACTATGATTATGAAGAAAGAAATTTCACCTGTAAAAATTTACGCCTTGGGATACATTTATCAAGCGCAAGAAACTTTGTGACTTCACCTCCATCTTGATGTTGAACAAAAGCAGCAAATTTGCAATGTAAATGAGCAGAAAACCAGTAAGGAGGTTTTAGTTTCTCTAACAATTCTGCAGCAGCTTTACTTCCCAAACTTCTCTCCTCAATCTGAAATCCTATGTGTTAAAATGTAAGGGCTTTCTTGGAATTATATTAAAAAAAAAAAAAAATGTTTGATTCCAAAATAGAAGAGAATGAAATTACCTCCTTCTGAAAATAAGGTTTATCACGAACAAGTTCTTTCCAGTTTCCATGATCAGTGATGCCAAGTGGCCAATCATGTGACAAAAAAATATCGACAGGTTCTTCAATTTGCATGAGTTTGTGAACATCATATTCTCTCACATGGTATATTGACTTTATATCACTATTGTTATATGGAGCCCTTTCAAAATGTCCTGTATAATTGTTGTGAGAATAGGTGTACAATTTTTTATTTTTTTGTAAAGTTTTAAGATATAAGTAACCTGAACGATAATCTCGGGACTTGTAAATTCCAGAAATGCCCCCGATGCGAATACCCCCGAATTTGACAACTCCTGCAAATCCCAAGAAGTATATATCAGGTGCTGCCCATCCTCCATAGTATCTAGAGAAACAGGGAATAATATGTTAATAGATAAAAAGATTTTATTTGAAATTAGCCATAAAGAAAAAGAAACTCACAATTCCCAGAGGTAATTGGAAGCTTCATGATTTCCTCCAATGAATATAGTTGGAAATGGAGCTACTTTTTCTCCTGAGTAGTATTTCCAGAAAGAGTTCATGCTTCTATATTTAGGTGGAACACTTAAGCTTTCTAAATCCTTCTCATTCCTAACAGCCTGATCAAAAATAAATAAATAAAAACATGTGGTTGGTGTTTGGAAATTGGAAAAATGAAGGACAAACCTGGAAATCACCACAGCATATTAGAAGATCAATTTTTGTCTTCTCAACTTCTTGTAAATGCAAGAGAGTTGCATATACATTATCTAAGTCCCCATGCATGCAGCCTTCTATTGCAATCTTCATGGATATCTGTTGAGTCAAATGGGTGTGAGAATCCATGAAATACAAATTGGTAAAAACAGAAACTAAATATATGATTATGTTTAGTGTTTGATTTGATATTTTGAGTTTGAGGTGGTTTGTTTCTTACTCAGGATTAGGTTGAATTGGTGATTTGAGTAGTTTAGTGACGATTTGTGGATTACCTTGTTGAGTTATTAGTTATTGAAATATCAAGTGTGTGTGTGTGTGTGTGTGTGTGTTCTTAAATAATCTCTTTAAAACATGAAAGCAAGGAATTGGGGAGACTTTGTTGTAAGATTGACAACCTAAAAAACCTGATTATATGTTTTGGGTTTGAACATTGTGAAAGGATTAATCATTTGACACTTGTATTTCATGTATACAGTTTATGTCTTTATGTGGATGCATTATTATTATTATCATAGTGGCGATTTCTACAACTGCTTGTAGGTGGTAACTTGCATTCACTCACACCAATACACTTGGTTAAACCATGATTAAGACGCATTAGTCAAACAAGCCCTAATATATGAAAATTAGTTATCCTAAACAATTGGAATATCAAATAGATGAAATCATGTCACATTCTCATCACTTAATTTGCAATAATGAAAAGGTACGCATGACTTTCTACTTAAAGATGAGTGGAGTATCCTGAGAAGGACACAAACAATGTAATTTGGCTAACTTGGACATTTTATCGAACAGATGGAGGGCATAGCTTAGCAACATAACTTCGAGGACGACCTATGACATGCATACCTCAGTTTACGGTAGAGGGAGGGCAGGAAAAGTAGACACGGGATCTTGACGGAGAAGATGACGGGAAGTTGAAAACGCCGGCGACTGAATGATATTCGGAATATGTGGGTTTAGAATCTGTCGCGCCAAGGTTTTCTAGAGTAAAACACATAAGGGTGGAAATAATTGTTAAGTAATTTTTGTACTCGTTTTTAAAAATCAAATTTCTTGCAACAATTTCTTACTCCTATTTGAAGTTGAATTGTTTTAATGTTAGAACTAGAATTTACAAAATTGATCTTAGAACTAGAATTTACAAAATTTTAGTATAAAAAAAATGTTAGGATAAATTACAAAAATGGTCCTTTTGTATATATAGTGAAATATGCAACTTTGTCCAAAAATTAAAAAAAAAAAAAATTGTTAGTAAAATAAGCAGATTTGTCCGACTTTTTTCTTTACAGCGTTGGTCCCTGTGATTTAAGCTTGTTATAATGTTCATCCTTTTGGCTAATGTTGTTTCCTTTGCTACGCATATAAGGGCAAACGCAAGAATGTATAACAGTAGGTGTATCGAGATTTTTTTTATTTTTTTTTTGATAAAATATAACAACATAAATTGGTCATTTCATAGATGAGTATTTACAACTTATTGAAGGAAAAACAACCAAAAGTAATTTACCTGCAAAAGAGCAATGTGTCACAAATGACTGATTACTCGTATACGGACTTTTTTGTACAAAAAGAAAGTACAATGAAAACCAAAAATGATGATAATGACGATGCTTTAGCAAGACAAAGTGGTTTTTGACTTTTCAAAATGGTTGAATGCAAGCATATCACAAAAATAAAAAGTAAATATTGTGTGGAGAAAGTAGAAACCTGCAACACTTATCACAGAAAAACATCCTAAGAGGGTGTTTGGCTAAACTTAATCCTATCCGGACTCCGGTGCCATTTTTAGTGTTTAACAAAAAAATTTGTTAAGTAAAATTACCAAAAGGGGTTTCATACAGATTTCTTGTTCATATTAAACATGTTCATATCAGTAGCTCTTGAACAACAGTAGCATCCAATGTTTCAGTTCATATTAATTTCTATAGACGAAAGTGGGAGACATCACACAGATTTCGAACAGTAGCAATTGAACAACAGTGAGATAACCAAGGATTTCACACATATTTTTTTATTCCCTGTTGATTTCATACCTATATCTAAAAGTTGCAGACATCACACAGATGTCGATTTCAACGGAAATCAGGGGAAAAACGAATCAATTTCAACGGAAAGCAGGCAAAATCCAGATGAACAAAAGCAGGAAAAATTGAAAAAAATAAAACCTGAATCGAATCCGTAGGATGCGAAAGTCGCCGATCTAGCTGTTGGGTGCGACGGTCTCCGGTCAGTGGCAGTGATGACAATCGGCGACGAGCATGATGGAATCGCTTGAGGAGCCGACTAGCTGTCTGTTTTTTTTAGAGGTTTTGGTCAAAGGGTATATTGGTCAATTCTGAAATGTAATGAATTAAGGAGCTTTTGATAATTAAGGATTGACGAACTTATGAAAAATGGTTTATTATTCCAAACATGTTAAAAAAGCTCCATATTCCAAACACTCTCTAAACACAAATAGAATAGATTCGTAATCACAGTCTCTAATTTTTCATCCAAATTCAATTTAGAAGTGTCAAGTGAAATAAAGTATACAAGATTTTTTTTTTTTAAAGTACAATCAATTAGGGCCAACATATAAATAGATAGCTAGATAGATATCTCCGTTAAAAAAAACAAGAAAAATGAAAAGTTGTGGAGAAGATCATTGTTGAAGATCCCAACCATAAATAATTAGAACACATTGATTTAAGCTTATGTACATAACTTTTCTCAAGAAAAAAAATTAAAGATTTTTTCAAACTGATTTCAGGAAAAAAAAAAGAGTACCTAAATGAACGATAGGCGGAAGTCGGCGTTGGCGCATTGTTTGGAAGGAGAGGGGAGGGGGACGAAGAGTCGTTGAGAGGGAGGAAAAAAATTTATTTTAGGACACAATTGCCATTCGCAGGTGTTGTTATTCACACCCAAACTAACCTAAAAAATTGTTTTTTTGTGATACTTAGGGTTTAGACACCACATCACACAAAGCAGCATTCGTTTTCTTCAAGCTACCAAAAATGGCAGACAACGGAGTGCTGGCGGTTGACAAGTTAACAATTTCCAACACCATCAAAGAAGCGGAGTTCTCACACCGTGTACTGCATATCTGATCTGCTTACTTGATCTTAGTTTCTAGATACTGGTATACTACTGAATATCCAATCTGCTTAAATGAATATGTTGTTCTGTTACTATTTCAGATTTCTGCTATCGCCCGTATTCGTAACGCACTAACTTATGCAACAACACGTTCTTCCAAAAACATGGATTTCTTTATGTTCATACTCCAATCATCACCACTAGTGATTGTGAAGGCGCAGGAGAGATGCTTCAGGTCACAACCTTAATAAACGATTCAGAAAAACTTGAAAAGCAACTTCTAAAGAATCCCCCTCCCTCCCAAGAAGATGTAGATACAGCTAGGGCTACTATCAAGGAAAAAGGTGAAATAATTGCTAAATTGAAGTCTGATAAAGCTGGTAAACCTGAAATAACAGTTGCAGTTGCTGAACTTACTAAAGCCAAAGAGAATCTTTCAAAGGTTGAAGAGAGATTCAAACAGAAACCTCGTATTCCAAGGAAAGATGGCAAGGTTGAGACATTTGCTTGTCACAAAAGTATTTACACTTTTGGCCCAACTTTCCGTGCTGAACATTCTCATACAACTAGACATCTTGCTGAATTCTGGATGGTTGAACCCGAAATAGCATTTGTTGATATTCAGGTACACAATGCAGAATGCACTTCTTTAATGAATAACCTCTAAGAAAATGAATTTGATTTGATTTTGTTCATATTCCTACAGGATGATATGAAGTGTGCAGAAGCATATGTTAGGTTTATGTGCCAATGATTACTCGACAACTGTCTTGATGACATGGAATTCATGGTTGAGAAGTTTGATAAAAATGCCATTAATCGTTTGAAAATGGTTGCTTCTACATATTTCGTACGGCTTTCCTACACAAAAGTAGTGACGATTCTTGAAGAAGCTGTTTCTAAAGGCCACAAATTTGAGAACAAAGTAGAATGGGGAATTGATTTGGCATCTGAACACGAAAAGTAGTCTTTTTTTTTCTTTTAATTTGTGAAACCCGACAATTTGTATGTATATTCAATAACTTCAAGATTTTGCATTGTGTAGATACCTAACAGAGACAAAATTCAAATCGCATGTGATTATATACAACTACCCAAAAGGGATCAAAGCATTTTACATGAAAGTTAACTCTGATAACAAAACAGTAGCTGCCATGGATGTTCTTGTCCCAAAGGTGATGAATGAAATCTTTTGAGGACTCATTATGATACGTTACTGATTATGATACGTTACTTGTAAGATTTTGTTGCTTTTTTTTTTACTGTTGGTGATGTTTTTTTATTTCCCAACTGTTAGAGATTGAACATTGAGTATATACGAGTCCTTTCCTCAATTTCATCAAACTATAGTTTGCCTTATCCGATTTCATCATGGGCTTGGGCTTCAACTAATTCATAGTGGGCTCCTATTTGGGCTTTTAATAAGCATAATGTTAATTCTCATAGTGAACAACTAAGTGGATTCATTTTAAAGATGGATTGTTAATAACGTATTTATTTCATCTCTTTCGCAAACTGCAAATTGGGTCTATATGGTTTGCAGTTTTCTTTTTTGGATTCGATCTAAAATGTTTAAAGTTGCACAGAATGTTCCTATACCCCCTCGTACTGTGACATCCCCAAAATCACGGCCAGAAAAGACCGGTTTCATTTATGTTTTTAAAATAATTTCAGAGTAAATCCATTGATTTAAAAGAGTTGCGGAATTTGTCCCCAAAACAATACATGATAAAATAAGGTTTATCAAAGCATTTCTTAAAGAAATGTATTTTCATTATATAACAAAACTCGGGATGTCATGTTCCGATACAGACACAAAAGCATAAACAATAAAACATAGACCTTACACAGTTATATACAACTACAGGTCTATAAACAAAAACATCTTCACAAGTTCTCCAACTTATGCTCTCGCGCCACTACCTGTAATACAAAGAAACTGAGTGGGTCAGGCTTGGGATCCTGGTGGGCATATAGGGTTTTCAACCCACAATAAATAATTATATTTAATTTCACCAACCAACAATAACCCGATTACCCATTCCCGTTATCCTCACTTTCAACAACTATTACAAGGGACCTAATCTAGGATTTTCATCGGGACGGACAATACTGCAAAGGGGTTTCCTCAGCAATGAATGTCCTAAGGCAACCATGAGGGGGGTAGAATACAACGAATGAACACCCAAGTTCACCAACACCTACAGGTTATGAGCCTGCCAGCATTCCACAGGACAGTCTAGAAAGAGTCTGTGGTCGTCATCCATATTCTGCTGAATGACTAGATCACAATCACATCGAGGCCTCTCATCAGTTTATCACACATCAACTATCTACCCAAGTTCTACCCAACATTTTTGTAGATAACAACATACACATGCATTCATATGCAACTTAAAAACTGATAAGATACTAATTCAATACTCGTTCCAAATAAACAGATAACATACATATACACGTATATTTATACACACATAACACGTATTCTATAGGAGATACTTCATATCTATGTGTTAGAAGAAAGGGAATATACACTCACTTGATCAGAAGATGATCGGACAGCACTACAGCTCTAAGAGTAGTATTTTTCGGTGAAACTGTGATCCCTTCACACACCGGGCTTCTCGCGGGCAGAGCTTCGGCTCGGAAACTCTTTTCTTCTCGGGATCTTCGGACTTCGGGACTTGCTTCGGGTCTCGGGATGATACCGGGGCTTCGGGGGTATTTCATTGTACGTAAATCGATGTAATACGGGAGAGAGATGAGTGAATTAGTAACCTTGGCTGGCTGCCCCTTCAACTCTATTTATAGGGTTGTTTTCTGGAAATTCACGTCGTGAACAGTACTCCCACGTCGTGGGCTTGATTTTTCACAGCATGCATCATCACAAGTGGGGTTTGGCAGAGTCCAGGTGACGTCATTTATGGGTTCACGTCGTGAACACAGTGTTCACGTCGTGAACTCTGACACAGTATCGGGTTTCGTGCCCCGAACTTCAGAAATTCATATCTTTCGCATACGAGCTTCGTTTTAGACGTTCTTTATATGCACGTGTAGGTGAGATTATGCTCTACAACTCTCGTTTAGACTTCGACGGCTAATTTTGACTTTATTTTTATTATATTTTTATTATATTATTTTTAGTAGGCCGAGACAGGAAAACTCCGTTAGAAATTCATAACTCCTTCGTCTGACGTCCGTTTTCGTCTGTCTTTTCACCGTTGGACTACTATAGACGAGATCTTCAATTCTCGTTTAGATTGTTTCGGCTAAATATCGCTCGATCTCATATTCGAACTTTGGGCTGCATACCGCTAAGTCGAAACTTCGAAAAATCATAACTTCCTCATACGAAGTCAGATTTAGACGTTCTTTTCATGTACGCTCTCGGTTTAACGTATTCTACTACTTTCGTTTAGATCACTAAGGCTAAATATCTCTCCATCGTAAATTCACTATTTACGTCACGCAGTGTCGCGTCGGTTCTGTCGCGAAACTTCGACAGGTCATAACTTCTTCGTTATAACTCAGATTTCGGCATTCTTTATATATTCGGAATCTTCATCACAACCACTACTTCTTCATGTATCGATATAGGTCATATCTAACATTTTAATATTACGCTTATTTTTTATTCTTAATTCAGTTAAGCCACCAATTAAGCAATTAAGCATAAAACACATAATACTCAAATAATACATTCTTATTATTTCAAAATGAGTTACAAATGTTAACCTAGACTATTACATCATCATTAGTGCCTAGCCTGGAAACGAGGGCGTTACATTTCAGTACACTGAAAAGAGAAAAGAGAAAAATATTGAGATGGATATTAATTAGGATCAATCTTTATGTAACGTCCGTAGATCCGGGCTAGTCAATTTAGAGATAATAGGGGTCGAAAACGACTTTTCGACAAAAGATTATTTAGAATAAATAATCTTAACCAAGTGGTAGTATATGTTACAAGGGTTCCGTACATATAAAGAACGCCGAAATCCGAGTTATAACGAAGAAGTTATGACCCGTCGAAGTTTCGCAACGGAACTGGCACGACACCGGGAAGCGTAAATAGTGAATTTACGATAGAGCGACTTTTAGCCTTAGCGATCTAAATGAAAGCCGTAGAAAACGTTAAACCGAGAGCGTCCATAAAAAGAACGCTCAAATCTGACTTCGTATGAGGAAGTTATGATTTTTCGAAGTTTCGGCTTAGCAGTGTACAGCCCGAAGTTCGAATATTAGATCGAACGGTTTTTAGCCGACACAACCTAAACGAGAATCGAAGAACTCGTTAATAGTAGCATAACGATAAAAAGACAAACGAAAACGGACGTCGGATGAAGAAGTTATGAATTTTTAACGGACAAATCCTGTCCCGGCCTGTTAAAAATATAAATTTTAAAATAAAGTCAAAATTAGCCGACGGAGTTTAAACGAAAGTTGTAGAGTACGTTCCCGCCTACGCGTGGATATAAAGAACGTCAAAAACGGAGGTCGTACGCGAGAGTTACGAATTTTTAAAGATTGCACTTAAATTTGCGAAACTGTGATGACGTGGCAACATCTGGGCCGTCTGATGATGATCAAGCCTCGCATCGGATGAGTGACACGTCGCCTTGCCTATGCCCCGCGTCCGAGGTCAAGTACGCCACGCGTACTTCGGTCTTATCCGGTTCCGATACGAGCCACGTGCGAGACAGCTGGATGCGAGCTGGAGGCCTTATCCGAAGCTACGCCCAACGTAGCCTTCAGTACGCCCAGCGTACCACCGAAGTCAGGCGCCTATAAATAGGCTGCGAAGGGTTCCGAGGAAAATGCACCAAATCTCTTTCTCTCTCTAAACACTTTCTCTCTCTAGGGTTTCTAACCCCCCCCCCCCCAAAGCCTAGGTGAACCCTTGGCACCCAAAGGAAGCCCCGCGGCTCCCGGAGTCCCGAGAAAAAGGGTCTTTCGGTTCGGAAACGCTGATCCAAGCGAAGCCCAGTTTTCTATAAAACTCGCTGTAAGTGAGTTACGCCTACGCTATTTTTAATATAGCTTCTAATTAATTATAGTAACATTATTAGGACCTTAAAATAATTATTTGGGCTATTATTATGAGTTATATAGAGTGTTGTTTAACGCTTATATAATAGTAATAATATCTAGACTATTAATTAGTCGCGGTAAACGTTAGACTAAACCCTAGTGGTATTGATACTAGGTTTTGTCAAGGGAAAATTGTTTTGAGATAACGAAGCGCTGTCTGAGTTCAGAATCACCACCTTTTCAGGTGAGTGCATAGTTACTTTCATCTTACACATAGATATGAAGTATTTTATATAAATTACGTGCTATGTGTGCATATTATCTGTATACTTGCTATCTATGCTGGAGGAACGATTTTATACAAGTTTTATATGATTTAAACTGTATATGTATTTATATCTACAAAATATGTTGGGTAAAACATGGGTAGATGAAATATGAGCTGGATGATGAGTTGAGAGGTGATATAGACCATGAGGTAAGGGTGAGAGGTGGACGATGTGAGAAGCCTTTTTCCCAAATGATGTCCCCGTCATCTAGCAGAGTATGGATGACAACCACGGACTATTCTAGACAGTCCAGTGGAACACTAGCAGGCTCGCAACCTGTAGGTGTTGTGAACGATGTGTTCACCCGCTGTACTCTAAACCCTGGCGATCATGCAGACTTGGTGCCTAAACCTTGGCGATCATGCAGACTTGGTGCCAAAACACTGGCGACTATGTGGACTTAGTGCCTGTTGTATAAACCCTGGCGACTATGCAGACTTAGTACCTAAACCCTGGCGACTATGCGGACTTAGTGCCTGTTGTATAAATCCTGACGACTATGCAGACTTAGTGCCTAAACCCCGATGACGACGCACTTCGTGCCGATTCCTTAGGATGATCCTTAGGAATGAATGAACGAGGAATAGTTGATTCTTAGGGTAGATCCTTAAGAGTAAAGAAGATAATGGGGATGGGTAATTGGGTTGATTGTTTGATGTTTAAACATAATAATTATATTATTATGGGTTGAAAACCCTATGTACTCACCAGGTTTCTCAACCTGACCCACTCCAGCTTATTTCTATCACAGGTGTCGATATGAAGTTACATTACACTGAGAGATTTAAAAGAGATGTAGATCACTAGTGTAAATGAATGTAAGTTATGTTTATGCTTATGTTTCTGTATTGACGATGACATCCCAAATGTTTTAAAAATGAATAAAAATACATTTCTTCATAAATGCTTTGATAACGTATTTATCATGTTTTACTGGGAACAAATTCCGCAACATTTTTATTAAAAGAAATACTCTGATTTTTATAAAGCATAAATGAAATCGGTCTTTTCTGACCGTGAAAATGGGGATGTCACACTTTACTTAATTACCTTTTTATAGTATTTGATTTGAATATATACAACTTAGTATAAGTATGTGATGTAATTGCTTCAATCAGTAAATACTTAAAATTATCATGTTACCAAAACGAAGCATGTATATCCTCCATGCATAGCTCTATCATTAAGATGATGAATGAAGGTGGTGCGGATTCTTGATCACAGGCAAAGAATCCACCATAGATGTTACGTTGTCACACTTTCTCACGAGACAGCAGATCACCTAGGACAAAACTTTGTGGGAGACAACCTTCTACACGACGTCGACAAAAGAAGATGACAAATGTATTATTTGCCAAAAATAAAGTAGGTTTCGTAGATGGTTTAATTCACATGTCAGATGAAGGATCGGCATATTGAATGAACAAAAACGATGCAACGTTGTGGTAAGAGGATGGCTTGTTAGTGTAATGGAGAAGGAGATTAAACATAAAAATTGAAAAGCTAAACCGTAACTAAATTAACCGATGTATTTATATACAACCATTACAGAAAAAGTGAAAATGGTGATGTGGTTTTTGATTTCCATTAACCAAATATAAATCAAATTGTCATGTTTCATTTTTTATTGTAAAACCCCCGTAGCATAATGGATACTTCAAAAATATTAGACAAAACTACAAGAATGGTCCCTGTGGTATGTCGAAAATTGTCATTTTGGTCCAAACAGGTTTGGACTAACACTAGTGGTCCAAAAGTTTGATTTTGTTGCGAGTTTGGTCCAAATTTTAAAAAACTTTTTATAAAGACATATTTTCCCTTGGTATTTTCCCTTTTCCTTTTTTTTAATTACTTTTCCTTTTTTCTAATTAAAAATAAAAGACAAAAAAACCCCACCACTACCCCACACCTTATATCCCTAACATAGTTGACAATGCATGGGGCACACTTTGTGTCTTTAGGGGCACATCTTGATGCCCAAAGGGAGCCTCACACTAAAGCTTCATCAGGATGCTCCAAAATGCCTCCAAATGCTTCAACTTTGATTCCAAATACTCAAGTCATATTTTAACAATAAGTGATGTACTTTGCATAAGTCATATTGTTTACGAGATATGGCACTTAAGTCTCCCCGTTTTGTATTTGTTTACCTCCTTTGTAGAACAATGTGTTCCAAAGCCACATATCGAAAGGATATAATACATATAAAACATTAACTTTACAGACTTTCTGAGGTATAACATTCGACATGACATTAGTGTCTTAGCTCTTCGTGCTTCCCGTAGGCTTTTTTTTATTAAAGAGAGTTAGAGGGCGGTACAAAAGTGTAACGTCCCAAAGCTCATATTTTTTAATGACTAAACCATTCGTTCCATTTCATAAAAAAAGATCATTGTAGTAATAGAAGTAGTATCCAAAACAAACATCAGAATATCATAAAACAAAAAGTGTGGAATCTCCAGTAGATGCGATGCAATCATGCATGGCCCTTCCCCTTGCTACAAGAAGTACTTGAAACATTTAAACTTAAAACCATAAGCACAAAGCTTAGTGAGTTCCCCCAAAATACCACATACAACATACATAAACTAACAAGTCTGTTTCAACCCATGTGAATGATGTGGTCCTCCTACAGTCTTACAATCACTTTCTTTGTTGCAGTCTTTCTTGCTATGGTCCTCCCATAGTCTTTCATGCAATTGCCATGGTCCTCTCATGGTCTTTCATACAGTTTCCATGGTCCTCACATGGTCTTTCATGCAAAAGTCACAAAGACAATCTTCGCATACTACATAGTATAGTGAGAAGACTCACCTCAGAAATCAAAGTAGACTACACAAACGCTCGCAAGACGTAAGGCTGGTACTACACACCACCTAATAATAATCAAAGGGTCAAGCCTCATTCTACCATCTAAAACTATCAGGTCGACCAAAAGTCAACCAGGTCAAAAGTCAACGGTCAACAGTCAAAGTCAACTCAACAACACCGTGCCATGGCAAGACCCTTGCCACGTTGTGGTCTACTTCAATCAGAAAAGCAATAGATCAGTCCACCACGCCGTGGTCATCACATAACTATGCAGTGGGGACGTTGATAGCTCCAAAATTCAATTAAGTCCTTAATTAGTTAAGTCATTTGCTCAAACTTTCTAGAAGGCTTCTTGACACCCTAAAGGCTCAGAAAAATCCTAACTTATAGACATGTATGTCTAATGCATGTCATGCACCCAAGCTACGTCAAATGGTAAGAAAAGTGGCATTAATCCTTTGTATGGCCCCAAACCACACCTAAGTTCTAGATCTGAAAGTTGGAACACTCAAGGGACATTCAAGGTTGATAAAGTTGCAAGTTTTACTTGGATTTCATCCATAAACTACAACCAAAACCGTAAAAAAAAATACTTAAAATGCCATAAAATGCTATATCTATGAAATCAAAGCCATCAAATAGGGAATTTAAACACTTACAAATGTCCAGGAGATGCTCAAAGAGGTTGGGATGGTGCTTGCTTGCTGATCTCTAGCTCAAAAGTTCCTTTCTTCTTCCTTCAAAGATCAAAAACCACCAAATATAGCTCAAAATGGAGAGAGAGATGGATTAGGGTTAGGATGAGAGTGTTTATGGACTGATGAAGGTTGAGGGTGGTCGAAACCCTAGCCCTCACATCCTTTATATAGGGCCCAAAGCCTGAAACTTATGGTTTTGTGCAAATAGCAGTGCCACATGTTGTATCATTTAACCACCACGACGTGGTGACGTGCCACCACCACGCTGTGACAACGAAGCACCACGTCGCGGGGAGGCAAATCCCAAAAATCCAACTCTTAATGCAAGAGAGTTTCAAAGAATAACACCTGCTTTCCTTGTTTTCTTCTCCGACGCTTGCCAGATGTATCACCCATCCCAATATCCTTTCGTTCTATTAATCAAATTTTTGGCTTTGACCGGTGAAAAATAAGGTTGATGGTATTGGCTAAAAAAAAGGAGAGAGGTGTGCCTTGAGGTACACTCACTTCTGCATTTTTGTGTAGGTTTTCGAGATTCTCAATCTTTTTTTTAGCGGGGTGACTTGTGAGATTTGAACTTAAAGTTATTCATTTTGGAATGCTGCTAAATTCCCAAATTATCACCGCTACTAGAACTAATGAACATTTGTGGCAAATAGTACAATCATTACAATACTCTAAATCCTCATTCTAGATTGCTTGTGGGTAAAAAAATTGAAGCAACAACAATGAACAATCACGTAACAAACTAACAATCCCACTTCATCAACCATCGTTTGTAGTTTTCTCCATTCATGGATTTAGATATTTGTATTGTCTAGACTAAAAAGACAACCTTTCAATTCCACAGAAAAGAAACAATGATAACTTTCGTTTTTGTGGTATTTAAAGTTTTACGTGCGACAAGATAGAGATCATAATCTCAACCTAATAGATGATGATATTAGATAATCATATCCATGTTTAATTAGGTATAGGACATAATTTCATTGCAAAGTAGTTTATTTATTTATTTTTAAAATAAATAATTCTCTAAATCCAACTCAATTTGGCGATGTGTTGTCGTGTAAAAACCCGATTCAACGCAATTCCTTTCGACAAGGATTCACCTTCACCCCCAAATCAAATGCAATGAACGCGCTTACAACCTGGTATCGCTTGTTGTTTTCCAATCAATTCTAGAATTTTCAGTTCATTCTTCCACTTCAACTTCCAGATCCAAAAACAAACCCTAAATTCTATTCAACGTTCATCGCCTCAATTTACTCCAATTGCTTATTCCAATTATCACAAATCAAGTAAAGAATTCCATCGCTCTATGCTTTGTATTGATCGTTTAATCACTTGAAAGTTGAAACTGTAGAATAGTTTTTTTTTTTTTTTCTTTTCATTTTGCTGCATTCGAATCTGATTATTGGAACGAAAGCGATGGCAAGATATGGAATATAATACTGTTTAGATTGGATTACCTATGATCGATGGCTTCGATTCGGAGAACACTTTCGCCGTATCAGGATCGTTCGCATCAAAATGGAGGGAATGTTAGTCCGTTTTCAGTGAATTCACCTTCGCATAAGCTTAATTCCACCAGTAGATTCGCCTTGGGAGTTCGGAGATTTATAGGAGGTGAAAAACATAGTCTTCCTCGGAAAGGTTTTCGAACGTGGAAGAGATCGATTTATAGTTGCTTATCGTTTTTCTTGGTAGGGTTTTTGTTAGGTTTGGCACCGTTTGGGGAATTCGAAGATGTTAGGACTCCCGATTTTTCATTTGAAGTCAACCGCCCTCCGATCCTAGATGTGAAAGAGGATATTGTGGTAGATAAGGTGGAGTTAGCTGTTGTGAAAAGAGAAAACGTCAAGGAGAGGTTTGATTATGTTGCTAGGAAACAGGTCATTGTTGTGACACCAACTTATAATCGAGCTCTTCAGGCTTATTATTTGAATAGACTGGGACAGGTTCTTAGGCTTGTACCTCCTCCAGTTCTTTGGATTGTTGTGGAGATGAATGTGGCTTCTACAGAAACTGCAGATATTCTTAGGGGAATGGGAATTATGTATCGGCATTTGGTATGCACCAAGAATCTTACCAATATAAAGGATAGAGGTGTTCACCAGCGGAATACAGCACTTGAACACATTGAGCACCATAAGCTTGATGGAATCGTCTATTTTGCGGATGATGATAATATCTATTCACTTGAATTGTTTGAGACTTTGAGAGAAATCAGGTACTTTGTTTGCTATTGTTAGTTATCTCTTATTGTTCTATTGTTAAACCATTATCTTGCGAGTATGTGTGATTGTGATTGTGATTTAATATGTTACAATTAAAGATGGGGTATGTTTGCTTCAATTACCGATTACTTTTGGTCATTAATCTCTAAGATGTTTCTATTCGTTTACTTTGCTGATTGCAGCCGTTTTGGCACATGGCCAGTTGCAATGCTTGCACAGAGCAAAAACAAGGCAGTTTTGGAAGGTCCTGTATGCAATGGCAGCCATGTAATTGGATGGCATACAAATGAAAAAAGTAAAAAACTTCGAAGATTTCATGTTGATATGTCAGGATTTGCATTCAACAGCACCATCTTGTGGGACCCAAAGAGATGGCAAAAACCCATTTCACCTTCAATTCGTCAATTAGACACCATTAAAGAAGGATTCCAAGTATGACATCACATCATATATATTCTTTTTCAAATCAACATTCACTTAAATGTATGTTTTTTTTATGGTATTATTCTGGGATTTCAGGAGACTACTTTTATAGAACAGTTGGTGGAAGATGAGAGTCAAATGGAAGGTACCCCATTTGGGTGTTCTAAAATCTTGAATTGGCATCTTCATTTGGAAGCTCGTGAAGTGGGGTACCCTAGAGGCTGGTTGCTTCAAAAGAATCTTGATGCTGTTCTCCCTATTGAGTAAAAGGCAATGAATGTCACCTCGAAAAAGGAGCCGGAAAGAGGTATTTCTTAAGTTTCATTAATAAACTTCATTGCATGCTTGTTGTGTGTTTGGTATGATCAATGATGGAATGGAATCACACATGAATAGAATGAATAATTACATTCAAGACTCATTAAATATCATTGAATGCTTGGGGTTTGTTTGGCTTTGTTACGATGGAATGGAATCATAAATGAACAGAATGAGTCATTCCATTCCATTGTCATGTTTGGTTGGGTTGAAGGAGTGGAATGGGCCTTTCAATCATTCAGCTTGTTATGTACAATTTAAAAAGTAAAGGGAATTTTATTGATAAATAAATTGCATGTAAACATATTTCACATCATTTGAAATAATATATAGTAGTATATGTGTTTCGTATAGCTAAAAAAGTTTATACATCACTTTAAAAGAAGTGTTTACCAAAATTAAAAAAGCAAATCAAATTAAATAGCATGAAATCTTAAAATAGAATCTAACCTCTTGTTTCTTAAAGTTGATGAATAGTTGAAGTTAAAAAGAATGGTTCCAAATATTCTGTTGAATCTTTTTTCCCATTCCAAATCCAAATCTATAAACATAAAACAATGAAAGCCAAACCAAACTACTTTTTTGGGGTCTCTCCAAGGGCAAAATGGTCATTTTTTTAATAAAAGAAAAGGCTGAGTTATCTAGATGTAACGATCCAGGGACCAAAATTAATATGAAACCTTGCAGTAGGGACCAACATTGAAAAAGACTCATTTTTGGACGTAAACCATAAAAATGACATACTACAGGGACCAAATATGTAATTTCCGTTTATTTGTGTATTACATCATTCTACTTTCATAGTTTCATGTATGTCTATTATATTTAACCTTAAAAAAGTTATCCAATCATAGCATTATGACATTTTTTTTCTTTAAAAATTTACCCAATTTAACAAATTATTTGTTGTTATGTGACAGTTAAAAATTGGTTTTTGACAGTCATCAGTTTCCACAAAGAAAAGCAGCTCTGCCTTTGTTTTTTAGAAGCAGTGCAAAGAAGGAAGGGAGACAAAAGGACACATTATTTCAAATTTGGTATTAAGTTCTGTTTCTGTATGATGCTTATTCTTTTACTATATGAGAGGGGCAATTGCCTTTTTGTGAAAATTGTTTTTTTTTTTTTTTGAAAGATGGGTATCTTGAAATGTGGTAGAGTTGTTTTGTTTTTGTACTTAAAAAAATGTAGACTTTTGAAATCTTGTTAATTCAGTATACTTTCTTTATTCATGGTTTTTGAGTTGTTCCTTTTGTTTATGCAATGGTTTATGTCAAAACCTTTTCATATAAGTGAAATGAACAACTGTTTAAAACTAATATTTCTCTCATAATCTTTCTCCCAAATTGGAAGGATTTATCAATACATGTTTGTTTCCTAATCTTCCTTACCTTTATTTCTAACTCAAGAACACCAACATGTAAAATCCTTTCTTTTCTTTTCTCTCGATATTTTTCTTTTTTAAGGAACCAGGTGTAAGCATTAACTATATCAAGTTCAAGAGTTGAAAATGATGGTAACTAATAATCTAGAAATTAGAATTCTAGCAGGAAGATACATACTCGTTCTACAACATTATTTAACAAAACCCAATGTGTTGTAAATAATCCGTAAGAAATAAATGGAGACATATGGGGTACATGAAACACCTGTAATGTAGTATTATAATGAAGAGTTAGGGAGTAGTAGAATACAAAACTGGATAATTATAATCAAGAATTAAGAACGTGAAGAATAAGAGAAAGATATACAATAAGAAAAATAAATCATATATTAGTTATCTAATCACGAAGACTAAAAACAATCCATTATTGAACGTGATTCAGATTCAGACTCTCTGTTTCATTTTTATATTTTTAAACATTTAAATTAAAAAAAAAATGTATAAATAAATAAAGAAAAAGAAACCGAACTCATGTACACAAAGAGTTCTTACTTTGACATATAGCTTTCTTTATAAAGTCTTATGAAAACAAAATTAGTAACCTTATTTGGTTTTTAATATATTTTTAACATGACAAATGACACAACATACTTTTTTTTTTTCGATATCTACATTGTATTTATTGTTTTTATGTTTTAAATTGAGCATTGTATTTTCCAACTTTATTCAATGTTGACATTTTCATTTTTGTTTCTATGACACAAAAGACACTACACTTTTATTTTTTGACTTTGACACTATATTTTCCACATTTTCTTATAAAAACATTATGTTTTCATTTTTTACGACATCGTATTTTCCAACTCTACATGGCAAATCAGATACCTCGGGAGGATTGTGGGGAAATGGTCAAGAATTTCACTATTCGCTTTAAAACAAAAAATAATACAATGTCAAAATCAAAAAATAAATTAAAAACATAATGCCTTTTGTATCATTTCCTTGTTTGATAATTTTGTTTTGTAAATATTAAATAATAAATCCAATCATTATAACTAAAAAATATATAAAATATCGTTTTAAATCTACTTTGTAATGGTCAATTCCATTTCCTTATGAATCTCAATCAAGAGAAGGAATTATATTTTATGATGAGTGTATCAAACTATAAATATTATTTCTATGTTGCAAACAAAAAAAAATTATTTTTATTATGTTTAATGGTCAATTGCTAGTTTTTACATTCACATATCCATACAAAAAGATATATAAAGATGGATAAAAACATCATATATCTTGCTTTATGCATCATAATTTAAAACATGATTAATCCCCTTCCCTAGTGTTTTGTTGTCCATGTAATTGATTAACAGGTTGACGTGGCATGGTGAGTCATAAAACGGTTGTGTAAAAGAATGATGATGTAGGAAAATGATAACATGTCAACAACTTGCAATTACTTCATATATAAGTTTTAAATTCTTATTCAAACACCAATAAATACTTGAAAACAACAAAAGAAACTCTAATATACCCTTTGAATCCTTTTTTCCTCATTCCAAATCAATCAATGGAAAACAAACAAAAATTATACTAGTACTTTTTAAGATAATAAAAAAAAACAAATTGTAGTAAATATACTTTTTAAAGATAATACAATATGAATAACACAAGAATCATCCTAATCTTGCTTCTCTTCTTAGAACCTGTGCCAAAAAGCAAAATAATTCACACTACATTTCAATAACATAATTTTTAAAATAATACTTCACATATATATATAAATAAATATAAAAAAAAAAAAAATTAACCTCTTCAGCAAATTTGATTAAAATGGTGGTCCGAGGGCGTTGTTGACCATCGACAGGAACAAAATGAGCGGTAACAACAGCCGGGAAGCCAGCATTATCCAACACTCCCTTCAAACAGAACAAAAAAGGGCAAATTTGTAAATTGTCAGAACTTAATGTGCAAAATCTTATTTTCTGACTTTTTCTATAAAAAAAGGAAATAACATCTTACCCTTACTACCCCTGCAACAAAAGCACCACAATTGAAGGATCCCATGTCCTTTGGAACAGAAATAAATCTATAAATAATTAAAAAGAAAAAAAAAATCGATGAGAAAAGAAATTTGTGATATTAATAAAGGGAAAAGAGAAACTTACCTGTTTACAAGAAGCTCCTTTTCACTAATCATATATTCATCTTCGTGTTCAGTGCCTTTTTCAAGTGAATCAGCTACCTAAATGTGGTGGTTGAAAGTTGAATTGCATAAATTGGTTTAAAAAGACTAAAAAAAAAAAAGAAAGAAATTGCAACAAACCTTTCCAAATAAAACCTTCCATACAGTACTATGTATAAAAGACAAAATGCCCAACAACCGTGTCTCCCTTCTATTACCCTGCATCATTAAAAAGAAAATTTTAAAATTAATTTACTCCATGAAATCATTTATGTAAAAATGGGCCAAATGGGTAAAATGTAAGAAAAAAATAGCTATAAAAAGAAAACAGATCAAGTGTTGCAACCTTCAAAATTGTTTATTTACAAAAGAGTAGATTGTTATTTAAATAGTAGTTTTGTAATTATATTTAGTATATTAAATATTTATGAAATTTGGAAAAAGAAAAAAAAAAGACTTATGTGACCTTTTCTCTATTGCAAAGTAGTTCAAGTACTCGTGTCCCAACAGCATAGCCAGCATCCTCCAATCTGATCACATAAAATTATATAAAATTAGTTGAAAGATATTATAAACAATATCTTATTAATTTTTGATATTATACTAAAATGCAGCTTCTTTTTTACTTAATGGACATGACTTAATGTGATAAGTTATATGAAGGTGTTTCCTTTTGACTTAATGAAGCATTTCCCATTGAGTCCTAACTTTTTACAAATTTGCCCTCATTCTTTTTTCCTTCTATCAATATTTTGATTTTCAATGTCAAACACAATACTATTAGAATGTAGAAATTGAGATAGATTTTATCACAAACTCCCACCAAGTTATTTCTAGTTGTAAGATAAATTTCAACTAATTCATAAACAGATAAAATAAAGATTGATTATCCCTTTCATGCCATTTGGCTTTGAACTGAAAGGAGGACAAAGGGTTCTTCTCACAAATTGGAAAAAAAAAAATGACATTTTTTTCACAAAAAAACATTAGATTGCAGATTGTAAGTTATGAATCATGACGATGATGGTATGATGAGCTTGGAATTTATCAATTTTACCTCTTTTCTAGTTCTCCAATGTTGTCAACTTGTGTTTGATTGTACTGAACAAGTTCTGAAAATAAGTAAGCAAACGCACCCAAACTGACCTGCAAATCGAACACAAAATCTCTTCAAAACCCTAAAGACAAAATACCCAAATCACAATCTTCTAATTCGACAATTATAAACATAATTGCGGCCAACATTATCAACTGTGACACATGATAACGAAAAGAGTAGCCTGGACTGCCCTTTTTTGGTCCTAACTCGTTTTCGATAATTATCCAGAAACCCTAAAAAAGGTTGATTTGAGATCTGGGGAGATGAGAAAGTAGAAGAAATGAAAGGGAAGAATATTAAAACCTCTTGTTTGCCCTTGCTAAGGGGCTTGTCAAGCACATTTGTGTACTGCTTGATCTTCCCAGCTCCGATCATCGTCTCCTTCTTTCTCGGAATCGACTCCGATTTCCGAGTAGTTTTCTGGTTATAAATCGTTTTGATCGTCGGTTGCTATTTTGTTACAAGTATGTATTTTCATGTTTATAATTTGGGCGTTGCCATTTTTTAGTTTTTTAGTATTTTAGTATTTACTCATGTTTTCTTTGAGTTAATTGCAAATATCCATTCTTGAATATGCACTAAAGCCTTTGCTTTTGCATTTTATAAAATGTGTCTTATACTCCTATTAATCGAACCATTACATTATATACATATTAATATGGGTGTTGTTTAGGAAAAGTATATTTTATGCTGTTTAGAATTTCACCATATTATTTTGTAAAGGTTGGCAATTTTAGTCCCTGACTTCCTCTAACCCTTACTTGGCGGAAGATAAATATGGTAATCAAAGGCCTACTTACTGTCTCCAACACCCACAACGAATTCTCTAACCCTATACCATTTTCTCTCCGGAAAAAGAAAAAAAAATCACCGCAATCGTCTTCATCGGTGTGGAACTTCTACCATTTTCTTCTACGAACCTTTCGTTTTTGGTGTTGTGAATTGTGATTGTCAACTCTGTTTTGTTTTGTTTGGTGTTTCAGGTTTAGTTTGTGCTGAAACTTTTGTTTCTGATTTCTCAGGGATGCTCTCATATTGCAATCGGGAGAGAAACCCATAGGCATATTCGACAACAATTAAGAACGGGGGGAAGTTCAATGATTATCAACTGAGAGATAGAGATAACTACGAGTGTCGTTTTGTTGATATCAGTATTGTTCACAATATAAAGAAGTAGTGTTGCTGGTGCTGATCGACGTTGCTGGTGGGTTGGAGTGGCCATGGTACTGTGATTTAATAAATATCAGCCCTAAAACTTCTTATTTCCTGCCATATATCAATCTTGAAGGTAGATCTTTGAGTCTTAAGTACGAATCTTGAAATTAGTTATGCATGTTACAAATTAAACCTAAATATATGAAAGGTGTCAAATTCACAATGCAAATTCGCTTTCAATCTTTGAATTACACCATATGCTTGGTTTAAAGTACCAAAATTTCAAATGAAAAAAATGGGTTGGAATGAAATTAGTTAGGGTACACAAGGCTGATATTGGGTGTGTTTGTCACGAAGCGTTTGACAGCTTCCAGCTTCTAGCGTTTGATAAAACGCTCCGTTTTGAACATAAAGCATCGTTTGGCACTATAAGCTTCTAGCGTTTAGTTTAAACAAAACGCTCCAAATCCAAATGCTACTTCATGTAGTGTTTAACAAAAAGCTACCAGCTAGAAGCTACCTATTACCAGCTATTTTTGCCGAACATGTCCATTGAGTGTTTAAAAGTTGAAGAAAACGATGATAATCCTTTAAACGAACTAGGTGTTGATAAATACCGTTTGTTTGATAGAGAGAGGTACATTTTTCAGGTTATAGTTTTTTCATTCATTTTGCAGTTTATGATGTTACTTTCATTTCTGCTTACTTAGTATATATCACTGCTCAAATTTGACTTCTACTTACTGTGGTTCTTTGTTTATTTTCTATTAAACCGGAACTAGGGGTTGGTTCTCTATCAGATTTATATGATACTACTTTTTTCAAAGGCCAACTTCCTTTTAACCATATATTTGCTTGCAATTTCTTTTTCGTTTGTGGTGTAACCCTTGAAGTTGATAATTTCATGGGAACCAAGTAGATCTCGTATGGAGTATCAAATATGAATTGTATTTTGTCACCTCAATTTTGCTAATGATACACTTTGGGTCCCTTAATACATGTGTTCTACAAATTTCATCATTCTTTTGGTTTTAACTTTTCATTTGACTATTTTGTCTGCTTAATCATCGGCGTTTCTCCTAGATTTTTGTCACATGTGCTCTGAGTCTCGCTTTGTAAAATGAACAAATCAATAGAAATATGCATTTTATTTTGTTGCATTTAAACCTTATTATTATCGATTAAACTCATTTAGAAACATTTACATATTTCAATCAAACATTCACAAATTTCGCTAAACTTATTCGAACCCACGCTAATGGCGCGTGGTTTTTTTTACTAGTTAAGATATTAAATATTGATGGACTTATATGTGTACCAAGGAAAATGTGCAGATCCAAAAATTTCATTTGCCTTAATCACGTCGACCCAATGCACCATTACCAAAATAAAAGAGTTACCAACACATATAGCTCTTTTGGTAAATTTGCCAAAAATAGTTTAAATCATAATGTATTATATCAAACTTTTGTATAGCATCACATTTTAAAGCAGCACTGACATATTTGATGAAAACAATGTTGAAACATATTTTGAATAAACTTTATTTTCTTTAAGCACCAACTTCATCAACAACTCTCGTGTTATGTTATTGTCGTAATGGAAATTTGTCATACTTTCATCCATTTCCAAGTTTGGCCCCGTGTTGCGGCCAAGCAGTGAGCATAAGTATGTAACCTTGAAAAGAACTAAATGATAGTCGAACTCTCCATGACTAGGAAGCGTGTAAATGTGATTTGTGACTTGTGATAAGTTTTCTTTTGAACTTTGAAATATCAAATAATTACATTATTTAGATATAATAAATATATATTATTTATTAATTAAATGGTCCGAGTTTAGGGACCGAGAGGTATCCTTATTACTGTTCTCATCCTCGGTTTTTTAATCCGGTGATTCCTCATCTCCATCTCAATTCCCAGTCAACTCAACTCATTAGGTATGAGTTTTTTTGTCATCACTATGTTTGACAAAAATAACTAGAAGCTGTAGTTTTCTTTTAATATAGAAATGTTTGACAAAAACAACCGTAAACCTTTAAAATGTGTAAATAACATAAAATATAAAAACTAAAGTTTAAAAGCCCTCAAAAACTAGTTGAAGTACCTTTTAAATTATGAGCTTTAAATTTAAAAATAAAACCTTTAAAATCATACTTACAAAACGTTATTATTTTTTTTCTTTTTTTGAGTTTTATTATTATAAAAACTAAAGCTTAAGTTTCAAAAAATCGTTTGTCAAACATACCATCCCACCCAACTCCACCTAATTTTTCATTAGAAATTATTTTTTATAATCCAGATACACAATATTTAGGGCCCAATATTTATCTCTAACCCAATTCTTAACACCTTTATGCTTTATTAGTAACACCAACCCAACCTAATTTTCCCCCAATTATTTACTGGTTTCTTATTTATAGATTTAAAATTATAATAAGTATATACAAATTATTGCATTCTAAATACGTAATAATAAAACAAGATTTACCGTACAATGAAATTAAAATAAACGGCAAATTCAATAGCAAATAAAATTACTGCACGATACAAAGTTGATTAAAATATATACATACTGTTTATAATTTAGATAAGCTTTCGAGCTTTCAAAATATAATTTTTTTTTGGGATATATCATCGGCATACTAAAAATATAAAATAAAAGAGATCATAAATAAAAAAAAGTAAGGATCGTATATAAAATTATGTTAATATCCGATTTTATATATAGAGCAAAAACAAAAAATAGAGTTTTTATTTTGATTTTTTAAATAAAGGTTAAATATAATTTAGAGCATCCACAAATCACAATCATTGACATTTTCTATAACATTTTGGCAAGGTTGTAAAAATCGATCGACGTTAGCTAGTCGGTGGACTGGGGTTAAGGGATTAATCGGTCAGGCGGAGATTAATCGGGGACCATTAATTGCTAATTTGTTAGATTTTAAAATATTAAATACGACTAATATTATATAAAAGTTTGTAAATACCACTAATATCATAACAAAATAGGTTAATATAATAAATACAACACTAATCATATCTCAAATAGTTTCTGTTGAGATATAACTTCTTCAAAGTGCAAAAATTTCATCGGGTTCTACTGTTTCAGTCATTGTGTATGCATAGATTAATCGCTAGGCGTCCTCTAATCGGTCGAGTAGCGCCTAGGGATTAATCGGAGATTAATCGGGATCTAATCGGGATTTTTACAACACTGATTTTGGCAACAATAATAAAATTATAACGATTGACATGCAAAATTCCACATAGAAAATACAGTGTTAAAATTTTAATATATACAAAATAGTGATACAATTTTATGATCGACATGCCACGTAGACTATTGGCTGGTTAACATATATGGTTAAATGAAACCGTTTACCATTTTCAATAGCATTTTTCTTTTGATTTCATATAAGGTTTTTTTTTTTTTTTTTTTTTTTTTTTTTTTTTTTTTTTTGGATAAAAACCTATTATCATTAGCTTTGTCTCATTGACCATTTCAAAACTTCGTTTTAATGGTAACTAATTTATACTCATCTTCATTAAATGGGTAAATCGCAGTCTCTCATGCACGATGCACCTCATTGTCCATCATGTGGGAGGTGTTACTTCCATGTCTTTTGTGTAATTTTATACTTTCAACTATTATATTTTATTGTTTTGACAATTTATTTACATCTCTGTGAAATATTTAAAGTCTCATCATTTAATTTGTTATCTTTTTGAAGAGTATGTAATATTTTTTAGGGATAATGACCTAAAAGGGTAACATACTTTTGCTATTGGTCACATTTTGTCACTAATTTTTTTTTCGTGCTCTAATAGTCATTTAACTTGTTGATTCGTGTAAATTTTCCCCCTATGACCGATTATAGTCGGTTTCAATGGTTGAATCGGTCTGATGTGGCTTTTCTATCCTAGGTGGCCAATGAGGTGGCATGTAGGCCCCGATTTTGCCTCCCCTCCTCATTAAAGTTAAGAGTGAAGTCTCATTTGGTCCTTAAATTCGATTAGGGCACGATGTCTCATTAACCCCCGATTTGTCTCCTTCAATCTTTAATCGGTCTCTATAATGGCTTCATCACAATGTCCCACTGATCGAAACTTCATTGTAGTGGATTTCCACTACAATGGAACGTTTCCACCCAACCCATTAGTATATTTTGATCCCGACAGACAATCAGTGCGAGATGTTGACTTCAGTGCTTTTGACTACGAGGAGTTCATGGAATTCCTTCAAAAGCTCACCAGAAGTAGAAGCAAAGACATCTACTTCTGCCTTCCACAAGAGTCTTTAAGTCAGGGAATTCATACACTGGTGAATGACGGTGATTACAAAGAATTTTTGGATTTGACTTATGCAAATGAGAGGAGAATGAATGTGTATGTGGACCAATATAATGAACCAATCTTCGAATGGATTGAGGAAGAGGAAAATGAAGATCAAGACTACAGCTGTGAAGAGGATGAAGACTCAGTCTTGTCGGACACTTATTCTGTTGACCATGAAGAAGATGATGCTGAATATCCATTCCCAGCAACCAAAACCATGGGTGACAGGTTCTTAAACAAACTTTGTCTACATACAGTAAATGTAGATGATCTATATGAAGATGTTGACTATGTTGAACCTCAATACCATGCACATGATGATAAACAACCATGGAATCAGATGAAACCACTGTTAGGTATGCGATTTTCTAACCCTGATGAACTTAAAAACATGTTGAACAACTATGTCGTTGCTAATGGATATGATCTTTGGTTTGAAAAAAATGACTCCCAAAGGTTGTTAGTTAAGTGTTGCAAAAAAAAACAAGTCACCTACTTGTCCATTTAGACTTTGGGCCTCTTGGATGACTAAAGAGAAGATTTTTCAGATAAAATCTCTAGTTAGTGAACGTAATTGTAGCAGGGTGTTTAAGTTTGGATCCATAATAACTTATAAGTGGTTAGGAAAACAGTTTATGAGTGAAATTATAGAGAAACCAAAAATGAGTGTTAGGAAGATGAAAGTTAAAGTTTCAAGAACATTCAATATAAATGTGAGTTTGGGGCAATGCAGAAATGCAAAGAAATTTGCATTACAAGAAATTGAAGGAAGTCTAATTGAACATTATGGGAGATTGTGGTCATATGGTCATGAAATTCTGAGGACAAACCCTGGGTCTACTGTGAGG